TATTCTATTCTATTCTATTCTATTCTATTCTATTCTATTCTATTCTATTCTATTCTATTCTACCTTTGCTAGGTTTCTGCGAGGCTCTCCTTGACCACTAGAGGGCACACTAAGCAAAATGCTCTTCCAAGGTGAGAGATTATTACACTGCATTAAACTTGTATTCCATCATTTCCAAACTGACTAGGGAATCCTGGGAGCTGACATCCATACCTCTCGCCAAGGTTGAGAAATACTGGTCTAAGAACTTTAGAGGCTTAACTGAGAAGGAGTGTGATTTACTTATTGATTGATTGATTAATCAAAGTCATATAGCTACCCATCTTCCCCCAGGGGACTCTTTGATGGCACTGGCCTAAGCAACCACCCAGCTGGCTTCACATCCCTGCCACATCTGTCTTGTAATAATTGGGAGATCCACTAGATGGCTGCAAAGAAATATAGAAAAAGCTAACTGGTCCTCTGGCAGCAGCCTGGGTGTTTAAACCTCAGGCTTACTGCAGTTAATATCACCTTTATGTCCGTTTAATTTCAAGGGTGGCATGCTAATACCTTCCATGCCTCTGTGGTGGCACAGTGGTTAGAATGCGGTACTGCAGGCTGTTTCTGCTGACTGCCAACCGCCAGCAGTTTGGCAGTTCAAGTCTCACTGGCTGAAGGTTGACTCCAGTGATGGGATTCAAATTTTTTTTACTACTGGTTCTGTGGGCATGGCTTGGTGGGCGTGGCAGGGGAAGGATACTGTAAAATCTCCAGTCAAAAGTGGGATTTGCTGGTTCTCTGAACTACTCAAAATTTCCACTACTGGTCAATAAAATGAGAGCCCAAATTGTTGGAGGGCAATATGCTGACTCTGTAAACTGTTTAGAGAGGGCTGTCAAGCACTGTGTAGCGGTATATTAGTCTAAGAGCTATGGAACTGGAGGCTAAAGAATGGTTACTGAAATTGGGTTTGTCTAGTTTAATGAAACGAAGGATTCGGGGAGACATGATCGCAGCCTTCCAATATCTCAGGGGCTGCCACAAAGAAGAGGGAGCCAAGCTATTCTCCAAAGCACCAGAAGGCAGGACAAGAAGCAATGGTTGGAAACTAATCAAGGGGAGAAGTAACTTAGAACTAAGGAGAAATTTCTATTCCTTTAGACTCATCTTCACCACCTCATTCAAAACAGTTCCACTGGCTTAGACAAAGGGGCTGTAAAATCCAAAAGAGACCATTTGGCCTAGCAGTTAAGGCACTGGGCTAGAAACCTGGAAGGTGTGAGTTCTAATCCCATTTTAGGCACAAAGCCAGCTGGGGCACCTGGGGCCAGTCATTCCATCTGAACCCCAGGAAGAAGGCAACATCAAACCACTTCTGAAAAATCCTTGCCAAGAAAATTCCAGGCTGTCCATCAGGAGTCAAGACTTGACTAGACTCAAAAGCACCAAAACTTACAATACAATCCAAGAAAAATGGGTAGTCACTTCATATTGACTTGATGAAAATTGATGAGTCCATTTGGAATTATTTTCTATGGGTTCCCCTTGTAGGTTATCACAAAGCTTAAGAGGACAAATGCCATCTGGGGCATTTTAAAGCAACGTGTTTCTCAACCAGTTTGTCTAGCTCGTGAATCTCCTAGAAGGTTGAGCAAGGAAGTAAGAAAATCAGGGACTTCCCCAAATTAAGAAGCCGGCTCAAACATCTAGAGTACGTCCGTCTTGGAAGTAGCAGCAGTGCACGCTGGGATTGAGACATATGAAATAAATCCTTCTTGCTTCATATTTGGAAGATAAGAGCCTGCTTTTAATTTAATCCACCTCCCAGAGAGGAAGATTAGCAAGGAGTAAACTCGTCCATTTGAATTTATTTCTTTTCTTTTTTTTTCATTACTGCCAACATGTCAGTATGTCATTGTAACTTTGAGAATGCCTTAATTGTTTCTATTGGGTTTTAGGAATATTGAAATAGAAAAGCAACAAGGGAAATTAATATTATACATAATAACTGCAGCAAGATGGAAGAATAAGGAAATACCCAGAGTGGGTAGATTAGATTGTACACTTGACAGAACTTGAAGAAATGGTGAAGCTGACCAGTTTAGTCGGGGGGGCGGGGGGGGGAATAATAAACATTTTTTTTTTTGAAAGATTGGAAACCTTATGCACACTTTTTTTTTTTTGCTGAAATAAGAAAATACTGAATAGAATGGAATAGAATTCTTTATTGGCCAAGTGTGATTGGACACACAAGGAATTTGTCTTGGTGCAAATGCTCTCAGTGTAAATAAAAGAAAAGATACATTCATCAAGAATTAATGATTTATCCATTTGAGGATTAAAAAGAGTTAAAAGGGGGGAATTATAAAGTAAGGGGAGGAAGAAGTAAAAGTCTAGAGTCACTCTGAAGAGTGAGATGAGCGACATATACATTTAATTGATTAATTAATAAATGAAAAGACGGAGGGAGGGGAAAGATAGCAATAGCTATAGTATTTAGACTTATATACCGCCTTACAGTGCTCTACAGCTCTCTCTCTAAGTGGTTTACAGAGGCAGCATATTGTCCCCAACAATCTGGGTCCTTATTTTAACCACCTCGGAAGGCTGAGTCAACCTTGAGCCTGGTAAGATTTGAACTGCCAAATTTCAGGCTGCATGCAGTCAGCAGAAATAGCCTGCAGTACTGCACTCTAACCCTGCACCACTGTGGCTCAAGTATGGCAAAAATAATAATTTTACATTTACTTTTTCTTATTTTTCCCTTCCTTCTTCGTACTTGCATTGTATTTAAACATTCCAATAAATAAATGCAGAGAATGTTTGTCTTAACATTGACCTATTGTCCCATGTGTGAATTTTTGCATGAATTTGGTCTAAGGCGCAGAGCTTTTGCAAATGTCTTTCCCTACTTTCATGTTTTAGGGTATATTAATTTTAGGCATATGTAGCTTTTTCTGCAGATACTTTAAGTATTATCACCAACATTATCATCAGATAATGTTGTTTACAAAGTTTAGACACCCATGCTGCCAACTTTCAAATAATGAATAAATTCATTTAGTTTGGAATTGATTGAAAACTGCAAAATAAATTTATCAATGGGAATCCTTCTTTTTTTCTCCATTCACAGTTTCTGAACCCAAGCCCTTTAGACCCACTCAGTAAGAAGACCTTTTCATATAAAAAGGGAATATGTATTTGCAAGAGTAGCTCTTACCTTGTTGCCTATGAAGGTACTTTTAATTGCTTGTTGTCTTGATGTTCTCAATTTTCCTAGGAACAACAAAAATGGGCAGAAGCTTTAATAAGTTATTTCTTGAGGTGTTTTTCTGCTGCCTACCTTCCAACCTACTTTTAAAATACCTGTCTTCTTAATACCTCCCATAGCCTTTTCTTCCTTCCTTCCTTCCTTCCTTCCTTCCTTCCTTCCTTCCTTCCTTCCTTCCTTCCTTCCTTCCTTCCTTCCT